ATAAAAGAAAACAAATCAAACAAAGAAAATCTTTCTCTCTCTCTCTCTCTCTCTCGAAAAAATATTTGCTCTGCTTTTTCAGATGTTAACATTTTTTGTAACTAACGTGAATGCATTTTTAATTAATATCTAAGACATGTTAATCTAAATAAACAATTCTATTCTTCGCCCACCGAGCAACTATAAATCAAAAAGTAACACACTCTACCCATAAATAATATCTTATATTACTTATTTCAACTAAAATTGAAAAAACGTGCGGAATTGCCATAATGCGACAACAAACGGCAAAGGGTCAGATCGCCGCCGGGTCGGCATGAGCCAGTCCCATAATAATTGTAATAAAAATATCACACATTTACCATCTAAAACACCGGCCGGCGCGGCGTCATGTCAACACTTTAAACATAAACATATTGATAACAACTAGACCTACGTCGAAGTAAGGAATATTTCAGTAACGAGTCCTCGGTTCGTGCATTTCCAGGTATTACGATTACTGCCAGCGCAAAAGTAACGAATTAGCTTAGTAACGAGTCTAAATTCAAATGGTAAGCGTTACTTCGAGTCCTCGTAAAGTAACTGTTACTTTGTAACGATTACTTAGAATTTTTACTATCACTAACCGCCGACACAAATGCATTAAACAGGTTTGCAACAGAGACACCTTAGACAACTGTTAAGAAACAAATGGTCCTTGAAAAAGCTAGCTGCCAGATCGCTGAAGTCATGATTAGTAAATCCCGCTTAAGATGGATTGGTCACGTATGCAGGATGCAAGAAAACTCTTTACCGAAATCTTTTCTTTACGGTGAGCTTGTAAAGAGTAAGAGGAAACCGGGTGGACAACTTAAAAGGTACAAGGATATTTTTCATGAAAACTTAAAGGGGATAAGCATGCAGAATCAGTGGGAGGAAGCAGCGCACAATAGAATGCAATGGAGAAGAATTATTGTAAACTCAGTTATAGATAATACCAAATAAACTTTGAGTCACGTGATTAAGTTTGACCGACACAGCGTTGCACATTATTACATATTTTCTTTTCATCAGTATATTTAATGATACAAAAATAAATTAATCATAAATATATAAACAGTTATTATTTACATCAACAAAATTCACTTCCTTAACAGCACTGTAAAACTTGGAAAATAAGTTCGTTATAAGAATGCTTTTATTTATTCACTATTCTAATAAAGAATATGCATTCCTTCGGAAACTCTCTATTTATTTATCTAGTAATGCTAAAACACTCTATTTGAAAGTCGATTAGAGAAAATAGTATGATTCATTGGCAAGCGATGTAAATATTTGTGATCAGGTAAAATTGTGATGTAAGAGGAGGCTTAGCTTGCCGGCGGCAGGTCAGTAGTAGACGGACCGGCCGGCTGTTGTGTTGTGTATTGTCATAGAGCTGATATTTGGGGTTTGCGAGTCTTTTGACTATAAGCGTTGCATCTACTGTAAGGCAACGAAGAAAACCTCTTGTGACGTCTTGCCTTCGAGGTTGGTCTTGAGAGTTTGAGGTCTCCCTTGTCTTCTCGATTGACACGATGCGGCGTTGGGGTAGTGAGGTACCCCTAGCCTATTCGATTGGGATGCGAATCTGTTTAGCGGCAGATTTGCGTCCGGGGGAAACCCCTATACTAATTCAGGTGACACTAGCTAGTTGTTGAAGGTTATTAACCAATAGATCAATAGATCCGAATAATATTTGAATTAGATGGAAGATATGGAATGGGATATATTGAATAGAATGTCAGTGGCTAGGGGGCGGAGTACCTACGGGTGTGTCTTACTATTTAATTATCAATTTTATCCAGTACCAGTAAATGTTTCTTTTGTTATTTTCATGTACACTGAGAGAGTGCTTGCCAATGACCAACTAAATGGATATTTGAGGTGAATTTGCATTGTGAGACCCGATTGAGTAAACCCCAAATATAAGCGATTTTACAGCACTTAAGAGACAAAGTTCCATAACTACCGCTTCCCCGTTGAAAATAATATAATAAAGTTGCGGTAAGTTTTTTACGTTATATCTTGTAATCTTGTAATATAATAATAAAAGTATATCTTGTAATATAATAATAAAGTTGCGATAAGTTTTTTACGCTATCTTGTACCCTTCGCACTAAAAGAGGTTCTAAAATGACTGCAGGGTTAGACTAAAGTGTCAAAACGAATGAAAATCTCAGGAAATAAATAAATAAAAGTGGCAAATTTTTTTTTTACAGTACTAAGCTATAATTGAATCCCCAGCGGGAAGTTTAAATTCCAGTTACTGCCCGGCGCCGAATATGTCCATGGTTGGCACCAATGTATTTAAAAACCGTCTCTCGATTACGTAACTAAAAGTTTAATTGGTATCGCTTATAGAACTATATCGTTGTAATATACTATAAGAAAATTAACAACAAATATATACAAATATACATTTATGGAAAAAATCACAATAAAATAAACAAGTAATAAACTTAACTAAAAAAAATAACATTGAAGTTTTAAAATAGTTCCTAGTATTTTCATAGTAACATTCATACAAAATTTACAATAAATTCAAATCTATCATTATTACTTATTCTATAATTGTTCTAATGGTGACGTTTATACAATTTTTATACCCTATATTTAATCGAAAGTGAAAACGCTTATAAAACATGTTATTCGTAATATATAGTTAAATACATGAGACGGATTTTATAAAAAAGTTTGATTCTATCTAGTTTCTTTCCAATGTTACATTTTCTAAGAGTATACTTAGTATCAAATTTTTTCTCTTTTTATGTCTTTACCAATTACGATATTATTACTTATCAATTTACAAAAATTAATTGCACAATATTATGCTTTAATTATGTGATATCTCCTATGAACAAATACAATATTACTCTCTAAAATTTGCAGACTTTTTTTAAATTCTGTTTTTTTAAATCAGTTCAAAAAAGGCTGCACTTTGTTAACTTGGAAATGGCAATCGCTGTCATTCCCCACATTCCCTATATAATTTTACATATAACAAGCCATCCCTGACGCCGTTTTTTATCATGTTGTAATTTCTGTTAGGACACCCTGTATAAACAGTAGTTTATTCTTAATTTAAATAATCATTATCGTAAGAAAAAACAAGTCTTGAAAGATCTCTAGTCTTTTAAAATTATATTAATTTTAACGAAAAAATGAAGTACTTTAATATTATTATGTCATTTTGATTTTTTTTACATTTACACTAAATTTATGGATGTTACGTTATCAATTCCTATAATACACATACATATTTATTCAACATTGTTTCATGATACATTACGAAAACTCAATTCTGTACCTATAAAGATACAATATTTAGTTTTATATAATGAAATTTAATACATTTAATTTCTTTTTTAAATACACTATAAGTTGAATTTTTGATTTTACAAAAAAATATGTACTTGTATCATACTACACCAAATTTTTTTTGTTATTCTGTATATGCGTTTGAATCACTACGAAGGAAGTAAAAAAATATGAATACAATATACGAAGACCAATGATACCCCTATTCTAGTATATTCCGGTAGTGTAAATATTATTTTATTGACCCCAACGTTCGGCGTCAAAAGTTGTAACGATGCCCCACGTTGGGCACTAAAATCTATATCAATGGCCCCACGTTGGGCACCAAAATATATATAATAACGCCCCACACTGAAATTTTATAATAAAACTCAATCGCAGTACCCAACGTATAGTCGTTATATCAATCAGCTAGTGCTTTAAAATTTAAAATTCGATTCTATATGTCAAAATATTTGTTTTAACTGTTGATTAACGTGACCGCAGATCTTGACGTTTCTGCGTTATGTTTCAAGAGATTTTGTGCCGTGATTTAACTGTATATTAATAGACTTTAGATACTTACAGAATAGAAATTTTAAGAGTAAAATTTCCTGGTGTACCAATTTTACCGGGATTATACCATTCTATAATATTTTTTAGTTTGATGTAATATGATGAAAGCATGCAATATTCTCAGTATACCTTCATCCAGAACCTTGAAATTAGTGGAGTAAATTAGTGGTTTTAATTATACCTTATACATAATAATTTACGATCGTTGGCAATGCCTAAAAATACAATTAAAATTAATAGAATATTCTAGCAGTAGGTTGCTAGTAGTTGTATCTATAGAGAAAGTTTAATCAGTAGCTTATAAAACAATACACTTTTGATTTCTAACCACTATTTCTCTTGACGGATGATAATTAAACGCCAAAATGTCATTACTCGCAAATTTTGGACTACACTCACCGGCAAGAAAAACAGGCACCTTAAAATTTTAATGTGATTTAAAGTTTAATATATTTTGTTCTAGTGGGCCGATTTTGATGATTTTTAGGCAATTTGTACCTAAATTATTTGACTTCTTAGTGTCTTTTTCGAAATTAAAAATGAAAATTGCCATCTGTCAATTATACGAGGGGAAACAAAATGTTGCAGGTGAAGGTTTGCAACACCTTGTAGAGTACATTAACGAAGCAAGGAATTCAAAGATCACTTTATCATCTAGGTGTATCTTTTCTAAAGAGTTTGTATTTTGATTCATCTTAATAACTTTTATTTTTTTTTTGGAGATATTCGCTTTTGAAGAAGACACCAACTTTTTTTTGTATTTTATACATTAAAACCATGCCCTTGCTTTTCGCCGTAGTCAACAAACTTATAAAACAGTGTTTATTTTTATTTTTTAAATTTTTTCCTCAGCTTAAAGCCGGTTTTAGCGACTAAGTCGGGATATTTCTTATCAACGACCTAATCGCGGTTCAACACAGTGCGAACTATCGTCCGCACTACTATCGAACTGGTGAAAAGAATTATGGACTTCTACATGGTAGAGATGATTCTTTCCGGGTTGTGAAGTTGGAGTTTCTTAAGGTTTGAACAAGGTTTACGTCTACTAGGCCGTTACAGGTAAGTATTATGGGTAATATAAAAGCTTCTTGATCTTGCTCAAATCGTATATGGCTTTAAGTTCTTGTGCCAGTGCTTCATATTTTGTGATTTTCTCTTTTCTTGCATTTTTAATATTTTCGTCTAGTGGTATTGTGATGTCCAGCAGGTAAGCATGTTTTTGTTTTTTATAGAAGACTACTATAGCAGATCTATTATGCTGCACAGTACGCTCTGTGATGATGTCAGTATCCCAGTATACTTTTACGGTTTCGTTTTCTACTATTTTTTCAGGTAAGTATCGGTAGTACGGTGTAATTTCATTTAAAATATTTTCTTTTTTGCAGATTTCTTGGTGTAGAATACCAGCCACCCGGTTGTGTCTGTCCTGATAATGCCGCGGTGCAAGATAGGTACATCCAGAGCAGATGTGTTGGATTGTTGGCATCTGTCATTAGGTAAGTCCTTTTTGGCTATTATTTTTAGAAAATTTTTACTTGGTATTTGCTGGTCTTGTATAGCTATAATAAATCCTTCGGTCTCAGCTCTGAGCTGTCCATCTCTGAGAAAACGTAATGACAACAACAAACAGTGTTTATAATTTATATTATGTCACTGTCTTTAAAAAATATTATTATGTTTTATCTGTTAGGCAGTTACTCTACAAGATATGGTTTTAAGTCCAAAAGTTGATCTCTGCCATGATCAATTAAATCAGCAATAGCCGATACTGCAGAACTTAAAACTATCTCTACTAGAGTTAACGCCAATAAATAATAATAATATTTTAGTTAGACTTTTCAATGACAGTGACATTACAAAAACTACAAACACTTTTTTCTAAGTGTGGTGATGAGGAACCATAATAAATTGCTGGAAATCGTTACTGTCTTATTGAAAAGAGAATATCTCGAACAAAAATAAAGCTATTGCGATGAATCAAAAAACAAACTCTCCAGAAAAGACATACCTAGATGATAAAATTTTTAAAATCTTTGCTTTGTTAGTATATTCCACAGGGTGTTTCGAACTTTTAACAAAATATCAACATTTTGTTTTCCTTTGTATAGTTGACAGATAGAAACTTTCATTGTTAATTTAGATATAATAAAAAGTCAAATAATTACAATACAAATTGCTTAAAAAGTCATCAAAATCGGCCCACTAGAACAAAATAAAGTGAAAGAGTGTTAACTTTTTCTACAAACTGAAAATTACTTCAACTAATTCTGACATTCTGATTGTTTACATTCAAATTAGAGGAACAAACTTCTACGCTAGTTTCGACCAATAATTTCGAGATTTTGAATGAGACTCAAGTCTCCTAACTTATTCTACCACCACCACAATAACATCGTCATCAGCATCGTCCTGTTATAACCGAACGCTCACTAGATCGCATTGGTCCAAGGACACCACGTCATCGTCAGGTGTGACGTCGGGTCGAGGGGACGTTTTGTTGGTCGAACCGTCAAAATGACAGGACCTGTCACACTTTGCTGCGCCGTGACGGTTCCTATCGCTCTGGCAGGCCGACGGGTCCGAATGCTATACGGATATCTCCTGGATCTGGACGCGTTTCTTGACGGTGCCTGAGGAGGTGGCGGGGTTGCTGGTGGTGCGCACTGGCGGCGGAGGCTTTTCCTTTTTGAGGGTGTTGGTGGCCGAGGCCGGACCTGGAGCGTGGAACTCGTGCGGGTTTTGAGATCGTGGTATCTGTAAAAGTACATAATCTTGCTTGTGTTAGACGAAAACTAATATTAAAACAAAAATGTGCATTTTTAACAGATCGCTGTAACTTTTTTGCTATGGAAAATTTTGTATTTTTGTGAAAACATTTCCAAAGCACCTTTTTGCGTAGAATTTATGGTTTAAGTATAATTTTTTTTAAATTAATAATTTAAGAACAGAAAAATTGATTTTTTATCAATTTTTCTGTTTCCCTTTCATATTTTTAATTAAGTGACCCTTATTGATGATATACCCCTAATTGAACTCGAAAACATATTTTTCCAGCAAGACAAGGCACCGCCTCAGAACGCTGAAGTTATCAGTAAATTTTTGCATCCAATTTCGAGAATAATTGAATAGATACCAAGATACCGTTGCCGTCGAGGCCGCCGGACTTAGTGCCTGCAGAAGAATAATGGTTCTTATTTTTAAAATGCCCGTATAATCTAGAGAAGAATTAGAAGTACTTAACGGTTATGCGAGGGTATGTTTCACCCCTACTGAGTTAATGAATTCCGCAAGAAATGTCCAAAAATGGTCCCGTCTGTCCATAACAGAAGACGGTTAGGTCTTCTTTTTCTTGGTTTCACATTAATTTTTATTGTTATTAGATATAGTTTTTAAATGTGTTGATGTTAAATATAGTTTAAATTGTTATAAAATTCTGCATCTCTATGCTAATATTATTTTCGTTTTAATTGCTGCTCACAGATTCAAAGTGTGCGAATTTTTAAAAACTCCATATCCCGAAGAGAAATAGAGCAAAATATCGAGTATGCTATATTTTTAGAAAGGTAATTTAAAATTCTTTTCAATTAATTAAAAATATACAGGTTGTCTCATATAAAAAATCAAATTTTCTGTTGATAATCCTTAAATTATTAATTATAAAAAAAAATTAAACCATTAAATTCTACGTAAAAAGATGCTTCGTAAATGTTTTCACAAAATTACAAAACTTTCCATAGCAAAAAAGTTACAGCGATTTGTTAAAAATGCACATTTTTGAAAAACACTTGTAACTCCGAAACGGTAACAGATATTGATGTGGGGTTTTCACCATCATGTTTTTGATAAAAATTGAGTTCCAGACACCAATATTAGTTTTCGCCTATCTCCTATAGAAAAGGGTGTTTTCCTTTAAAAGTTTCCAATTTACAGAAGAATATAATCACCACCCTGTACAGAATAATATAATCAATGCTTCTATATCATTACTTCTTAATAAAATAATTTCTGAATCACTAAAAGCATTTGGAATAAAATAAATCGAAAACAAATGAAGAGTATATAGTAGCTAAAAAATGAAGCAAAATCAGACCTATAACGATATGAAAAATAAATCTTTTTTTACACGAGGAAAATCCCTACGAGAGATAGCACATGTTTTTCGAAATACCGTGTATATTTTACTTTCTAACCTACCTTTATTTACATACGGTAATCGCAAAACATTTTCCGATGCACGCCATCAATCATATCGAAATTGACACTAAAGCCTATGAACCTGACTAAATTAAATTTGGCAAAAATGTTTAAATTCATCAGTCATTATTTTGTATAATATCGTGTTGTTCTCTTCTTTGTGAGTAATTTATCATCTTTGTAAGTAATTCTCATTTTTTGTCTATTTTCTTAGTCTTTTTTTTTAAATTGTACTTTTAAACACAAACAGTTCTTTTAAGAAATAAATTCTCGAGTTCTCGATTGCATTTCTTGAAATTGTGTGTTGAAAATATGCCGAAGCATCTAAACAGTCGAAGCAAAGAGCTTGTAGCTTCCCTGATAAACTATTTTGAACGAGAACGTGACAATAAAGGTGCTTTATTACCCTTGATTGCAGTCAGAGAAGTAAGTTTGATTGGTAAGCACATTATACCACCTTCAAAGTGATTTCTACGTTAGTTTTTAGTACATTCTGTGATTACTGGTTTGTGCATTAATGGCTCCCTGTTACTTCTTATTACTACTTGTATTGTAAGTTGTACCTACATAAATAAATAAGCCATAATAACGTTTAGAATAATCATTATAATGGACTAGTTTTTGCCAGTATGTAATAAGTAAAATAAGCTATAAAACAAATAAATCAATTAATAAAATATTAATTATTAAATTCAAAATAAAAGGTAAGAATCTTTAAAAAAAAATATCATAAATATATTGCTTCCCAATTTTACATTCCATAATTTGATTCATCCCATAAATCCGTCCCAATCTGGCAGCGCTGTCGCCATCGCTTGTCACTTGTCACTCAAGGTTGATCACGTGTATCGGAAATTGTTTTGCGATTACCGTAGTGCCATACCGTGCTGGCAACTGTTACTTTTGGGTCGGCATTTACATGTGTGGAAGTAAATCGCATAGGTATCTTATTAATTGGAGTGAGAGAAATGCGACCGACCGACGCGACGCGCGACGGTGTGCTGTTGCGGCGTTGCCGATACGCCTTTCCCTATCAAGTAAAATAAAATCACGATCGCAAACCGCTTATTTTTAAAAGACTTTTTTTTCAAGAGATAACTAGATAAAATCATTAGACATGTTTCTGAGCATCTGATATCGTTAGGGTGTCATTTTTTTTATAACGAGAAAACGTCAGTAATCGCGATAACTCAACTTTTTAAGCATAACTCAAGAACCACTTTAGATATTGAAACTTTTTTTTATTTTCAACATCGGATATTTTACGCGAATATGTTTCCATAAGAAAAATTCGTTAAGGTTGTTTTTTCCATGCAAAAATTGTAAATAATCCATCCATTTACTTTTAGAGCATAGCAATTTTCAGCAATCGTGTAATTTTTTTACTGATAAAGATTTTCACATACTGTCTACAAAGAAAATACAGCAGAAATATTAACAAAGTTCTTGAAAAAACTACAATCTACTATATCTAATAGATTTCGAGATATCGATTTTTGAATTCATAGTTCTAATAGCGCGACCACTATCGAACACCCACTCAATTCCACTTATTTTTACCAAAAATGCAAGTGCCCAAGCAGCATTTGGACGTCGGGACAACGTTGTGTCACGCGACCAAACGTCGGGGCGCAACGTCGGCACAACCTCGTGCCAACCCTAGTCTGCACTAGTTTGGAGAATAATTTTTGGGTCGAAACGACGTTGGATACCGACTTTGGCTAGAAGCCTAATTTAGTACAAACTGCAACGTTGTTTAAAATCCTAATTCACAGAAATACACAACTAATATGGCGTCTAAGTCGCGTTTTATCCTAAATTGGGATAATTATAGTAAAAATATTACTTTTATGATTTAGTTAGAGACATATGTCAGATGGCAGTGAAGGAAAACAAAACAAAAGTATTTAAGTGTGGAGGATGTTTGAAGATCATATTTATTGAAACACTTTAACCGACTCTGTACCTCGTTACCCAAGGCAAAAAAGTTAAACGCAAACAACTTTATTGATAAATGTATTGTTTCTACTTTGAAAAATACTAATGGGCCTTAAAATTAAAGAAGTTTTAAAAATTTTCTTGAATTTTTTTTTTTTAGTAAAATGAGAATAATTTATTCGCAGTCGAAAAAATTGTTTCCGCGTGATTTTTAGGGTCAAATATTTCAAGTTAATGTATTCAAAAAGCAGGAATTGCTATTTTAGGAACGAAACATTTTCTTATTTAACAACATGGCGGCTTTCACTTTGTTGTTTTGGGAGATTAAGATGGAGTAGTTCGAGTAGTCGCATACTGGACTAATAAAGTCGCAGTTCAGCCTTAACAGGTAGTATACTAGTCGCAAGATTGCCTAATTTAGTCATCCTAGAGTCTAGCTTGTGCCGCCCTCTATAATCTAAATAAACGAGGGAGTGGATAAACTATCGGTAATATATGCCGATGTATATTTAAATTTAGTTTTATATGTACCTTTCTTATGTCCCATTTTAAATAAGTTTTTTTTATAAAAACAAAAACAGCACTGAACTGTCTGACTGAACAGAACAATGAAGTGAAAATTTAAGATTTAAGGTTATGGTTCAATACAGTTGCAAAAAGGTAGTGCCTCGACGTCCTACCAACGTAAGAATAAGGAAATCTAAACAACGTTGGAATAAGTAAAACAGACGACGTTTGCATAACGTTGGAATAGGTCCTGAAACTGACGTCGGAAAACTCTATATTATCCAACGTTGTAACTACGTTGTCCGAATCACCTAAAGATCACTTAAGCAAAAAAGGTTACAAGACAACGTTTATTCGACGTCGCAGAAGCTTCTACTTTGCTGTAGTACTAGTCCAACGTCGGCACAACGTTATAAAAATGTTTAAATTTATTTTAATACCCAAGGTAGGGAGCTAACTATTTTTTGTAACTAATCCAACGTTGTGTTTAGTAAACATGTGGTCGCAAGTCGTGAAAATGCTACTTGGGTGTTTCTAGCTTGCACTTAAAAAAATTCAAGCTATAGGGAAAATTACAACGACTCGTTAATAAATAAACAAATTAAGTATCACGAGACCTAATTAAATCATGAAACTGAACTCATGACGTACACCTTTCCCTAGAACTTTAAATACTGACAGAGGTATTGATTGGGTCGACCGGTCAACTGCGACAAATCTGCTATATTCCCTTCTACGTCTCTTAGCGATGTGCACAGTTTCTCGGTTTATTTCATACGTTTGGCAACGTGTTTACTGTCCTCTCTTTGTTCAGTACATTATAAACGCATTGTACTCTTCTTACATACGGAAATCTCGACCCAAGGCTAACCTTTGCCAGCCCTTAGTATATGTTGATTTAAAATAAATCGTTTTATAAACTTTCTGTTTTTCATCGAAACTTGTATCTCATAGCTTATACTTCAATAGCATCGGACGCGAATGTTTTTCAAGTTAGCGTTGTTAAAAATAGCTTAAATTCCTGAATTCTAAGCGGCGGGTCAGGTACGTATAGTCTGGAGTTGTCTATGGAATAAAGTACACTCCATTAACTTCATAACTTAGATAAAACTACCGCCATATATATTAAAAGTTTTGAAGGATTTCGGAATCTGGTTTACTTGTCGACGGAAGAAAAGTAATTTTAAGTTTTCAAACTGAAATAAAACTATTAAAGCCACATATCGCATTATAATTTTCTACCAGGTATTAAAGCACATATCGTATTATAGTTTGCCACGCTCGAAAAGATATGGCTATTACTTTAAGATATTTTATGTTTGTGGTGGTATTTTTGTATGATAATATGCTAAATGATTTATATAAATACGTATAGATCATACCAAATAAACTTTTAGTCACGTGATTAAGCTTCATGGTGATTAATCCGCTCCATGGTTGGCAACAATGAATTTTAAAATCGCGCCATCGATTACGTAACTAAAAGTTTAATTGGTATCGCTTATAAGTATACAGGATGGTTCGAATTGTATTCCGGAAACTTCAGCAGCATATTCTTTTTCTTTCGGAGATACAGGGTGTTGAAGATTCATTTTTCGATTTTTTTCAAATAATTTCTGAAGTAACCTCAATATTTGGATGAAAATTGTATTCTGAGGGTTTTTTGATATGAGAAATTTGGTTTTGATCTCAATATGACTCCTACTTGCAGAGGGCGCCACCTACATATTTTTTAACTAGTTTGAAGAGTAATAACTTTTCGTCCGTACCTGTATAAAACTACTAATTAAAAAAAATATTCATTTACGACTTTTTTTATGTAAAAAAGTCTCTTGGTAAAAATCGCTACGATTAATGGTTCTCGAGATATTTGGAATTGAAATTATCAACACCTGTCATCATTGACATAAATTAAATATGTTGACTAAATAGTTATTAGACTGAAATCATAAATTTGAAATGTTTATGTGTCAAAAGTTCAACAGAAACTGTTTTATCATCATTTTTTCGAAGTAAAAATTTATGATTAATTTAAAAAATAAAAAGTTTCCAAATTTATCATTTTAGTCAAATTTATCATAACTACCGTATGATAAAAAAACGGCGTCCAGTTGGCTGGGAAATGACGATCAATGACATTTCCCAAATAAATGTACATAGAAAATGACAGCGATCTTCATTTCATAGCCAAGACTCTCAACATGTTTATTTTTTGTCAATAATGACATGTATTGAGTGTTCACATTCTAAATATATGGAGAACGGTTGCTAGTAGCGATTTTTACCAAGAGACTTTTTTACCTAAAAAATCACGGAAATGTATATTTTTTCACTCACTAGTTTTATACACGTACAGATGAACAGTTAAAATATATGTAGGTGGCGTTCCCTACAAATGAAAGTCATATTGACATCAAAATCAAATTTCTCATGTCAAAAAACTCCCAGACACCAACTTTCATCCAAACAATGACGTTACTTCAGAAATTATTGAAAAAATCGAATTACAAATGAAATATCTACACCCTGTATCTCCGAAACTAAGCGTTTTAGAACATACATTTATACGAACTTTTTTACATATTTTTATCTGCAGAAGTTTTCGGAATACAGTTCGGACCACCCTGTATTTTATCTAGGGTTGTTCAACTATTTTTTTCATATACTAACAGTATTATAACATTGTGGTATTTCCATTAACTCATGATCCCTTCGGCCTAGGAGTGGTGATTGCCGGGCACTGCTTCCTGGAGTACTGGGTCTTTGTGACATGGGAATGGTTTCGTCGGTTGAAGGAGTTGAATTGGTACTCAGTCGGTTTGAGGTTCCATGATTGTTGGTTCTATCGTGACGTCTTCTATCACGATCCCTCTGAAAAATGGGATGTAAAGATAATAAAATAACTTAAGTAAAAAAATCGTATTTTAATTTTATTTTCGATCTAGAGTACCATGGCTGTGTTAAAAGCACTAACTTTTAATCAAGGAGCCTTGGAAAAATAGATTTGATCGTCTAACATTTTTCGTGTCTTGTCCTGACCAGTTAAAAGATGCCCAAATCGCATTTTTAACTATATCTCAATTTCCTCAAATGGAACGAGGGTGGCTCATTAGCATATTTGGAAAAATAATTTTTTTACGAATAATTTGGTACCACACACTTGGTATTTCGAGCCAAATTGTCTTTATTAGTTACATTTTCAAATAAACCATATGAGAAAATGTGTCAATCAAATATGTCAATCAATTGTAGGTAATTTATTAAAACTAAAAGAGTTTCGGACATCCATTATCTTTATTTATTTTGCTTACACAACGTTTCGGTCAGTGTGAACTAAACTAAATCCTTATAAGTTATCAAGTGTGAACTAAACTTAATCCTAAAACTACTGAGCTTCTATACTAGAGCCGAGCATTCGTCACGATGGCTAGGAAATGAAGATCGCTGTCATTTTATATGTAAATTTATATGGGAAATGTCATCGATCGTCATTTCATAGCCATCGCTGACGCCGTTTTTATTCGATCATATGGTATAATTAAAATACTATGTCATAGAGCAATCACTATGTGCAGTGACCAAGAATCTCTAAGTTCTGAACTAAATAATATTAAAACCGATTTGCTTCAGAATGGTTACTCTGCAAAATCCCTAGACAATATTATATCCAATTGCAGGTTCGACTCATTGGTACCTCAGCCTGAGGAGGATGCTCTCTCTCTTGACGATTCCATGTGTGAAAGGAACATCGGAGAAGATCAGGCGAATAGCTAGGCAATAAAAATTAAAACTGTTTTTAAGTCTGGGACTACTCTAAGAAGTGTCCTAACATAAACAAAACCTGAATCATCAAATCAAGAGAAAGAGTGCATTAACCAGGTACCTTGCGAGTGCGGTGAGTCGTATATTAGAGACACAAAACGTGCTCTACATGTACGACTTGACGAATAAAAAAAAAATACGCAAAGAGGTGAAACAATGAAGTCGGGCATCGCAGATCATGTGTAGTCCAGGCACCACAACATAAAATGGTCGGAAGCCCGGGTTGTCCTCAAAGAACCCTATTGAAAAAAGCGCAAATTTAAAGAGGCCGTATTCATTTCTAACAATAATAAAATCCTTAGCAATCCAAGTATGGAAATTTCAACAATAATATGACAACCAGTCATAAAACGCCCCAATGCATGTTCTTAGTGGAAAATCGCATGCTTGACTGCACCCAACAAATTCACGGGTGAATGCTCGGCTCTAGTATATAAGCGTAACATCTCTCGAATAGTTTAAGTCGTATCTGAGCAACAAAAGTCAACTTATAAGGGTGGATATACCACGTTGTCTTCTAGCAAGCCAATAAAATGTGGAGTACCTCAAGGCTCAGTACTAGGCCCTATTTTGTTTCTTCTTTTATTAATGACATTGCTAACATAAACATCAGTGGTAAAATATGTGTTTTTACGGACGAACTAGCTTCACTTGGAGTAACAAGGACGTCACGGCACCTCATAGGATTATATCAAATATTAAGTCATTTGACCATTAAATCTCAATGCTGAGTCTCAACATTTCTAAAACTAAAGCTTTGTCGTATAAAAACTCGCTGCAGCCTTTTGCACTTAATAACACCACCATTGACGTCGTAAAATTTGTAAAATTCTTAAAGCTTGTTGTAAACAATTCTCTAAAATGGGACATGCATATAGACGCTTTGTTGAAAAAATTGAGCTCTGCCTGTTTTGCATTAAGATCTGTTTCTAGGGAGCTTAACTTGTCAGTGGCAAGAACTGTTTATTTTGAGTCAATTTTTGAGTCGCACCTCAGATATGCCCTTCCATTCTGGGGTACGTGTTGTGCGACTCAATTTGACCGCATTTTCAAGCTCCAGAAGAGAGCTGTTCGATATTCACTGGGACTAAACAGCAGAGGACTTGCTTGCGTCATTGCCAGGACTTTTTTAAAAAATTAAAAATATTAACTTTTCCTTCCTTATTTATATTTGAAACCGTTTGCCTAATACGTAAGCATGTATCAGCTTCTCAAGAAAGGCCATCTCAAACAAAGGCCACTCAGGAATGCGGAGCAATATCTTTATCTACCCACCCCACGGCTCAGAGTTAGTTAAAAGTTCAATATTATACAACTCGAAAAAAATCCATAACATCATTTTCTTCATTTCGCAAAGCATTCAAATCTTATTTACTATAGACAAGGCTTTCTACAAATGACTTATATTTTGTTAATCGAATTTGATCTTTTCAAACACTGGTCTAATATTTGCCATTACTATATTTACTATAAACTTACTAAATATATTTTTGAATGTATTTTTTTAAATATTTTTGAATCTTATTTTTATTTTTTTATTCTTTGACATTGTATACATTTATAAATGTTTATTTTAAACAATAAGACTGACAATGTAATTTGTATACTTATTTTGTATTCTCTTTTGTTTGTTTACTTACTACAAATCGTCTACAAATCGTCTACAAATTGTATACAAATCAATCGTCTACAAATTGTAAAAATTTTTGACAATAAAGGCATTAATTTATTAAGCTCAGTAGTTTTAGGACTTAGTTTAGTTCACACTTCATAACAGTCAGTGATCCTTCTGACCGAAACGTTGTGTAAGCAATATAAATAAAGACAATGGAAGTCCGAAACTCTTTTAGTTTTAATACTGAATCATTGTCTACCACTTTCAAAGTAATCCTAATTTATGTCATATACTAACATACCAAATCTCGTTTTTTTTATCTATGAAAAATTAAAAAAGTTATAGGGGTGAGCCACTTTTGAGACGCACCCGGTATAATCCAGGCCAGGCAATATTTCTTCTGTGGTATGAGGGTGTGGATTTTTCAATTAAGACCGATCAATTTCCTGCCAGGCTGCAGGAAGGCTAAACGGATATTTGATGAAGGTAAACAGCCTTCGAAATCTCGGGATTATAGCAAGTCAGAATGGCCGCCGACCAGAAAACAGAAATGTCGAATTTTTATGTTATATATTGATAAATGGCGGGAATGAGTTGAGATTGTGGCCAACATAATATATGATTTGATATTTTGAGATAAGATTTCTGGTAAACGGAGGTTTTAATTAATATAGAAGAAGGGTATTAATCAATTTTTGGTTTGTAATTAACTGAGAGCCCTAAAATAGTTATTTGTGTACCAAGGCCGTAAAGTGGTAGTAGTTCACACGGCCAAGGTGGATACAAAATTTTTTAAGCGATTGTCTTTTGAAGTAGGTAACAATTTTTTTGACAATTTTATTTCTAAATAAAGACGAAACTGGAAGATTAGATTCAAATTTTTATTAACCAAATGAAAAGTGTATTAAGCAACAAAGATGTGTACAGAATTACTTACATTATTATAAACAGAAGTTGGGTTATAAAGAAGTTAATAAATTAGGGCATTATTTGATATTAATTGTTATGTTAAATGTACATTTATTACATTTTCAAAAAGTAATACCACTATTAGACATGGCATTGTTAACAAACATTTCATTTTCTTGATTTTCACTAACAATGGTTGTTGTTGGAAAGCTGCTGACTGAAGTTCCATTTAATTCAATTTCTTTGGAATTGTCTTGATTAGAAAAACGTATATCTGAAGTACCTTCTCCTCCGAAAAGAATTCTATTTGAAATTTCCTTCTTTCTTGAAATGGAATCTTCAATGTAGCCTTCTGCTACAGTGTTAGGCTTCCAACCTCCGTGGCTTTTTAACATTAAAATATTAGCCCCTGTTTCAACCAAGAGAGAGAGAACTTCTTCTAAAAGAATGACCCGTATACTCATTAGTATTTGGTAATTGTAGATACTGTGCAATAAGTGATGGGATTTTTCCAAAGGTATGAACACCAACAACTTGTGTAGAACACTTTCCTTTTGAACGGAACCTTTTCTTTTGTTTTATGGGTAAATAATTCAAATATTATTAATCCAGCAAATTAAATGTGTCTAGTAGGCCGTATAATTTGACAATCTTAATCAGCGGCGGATACAGGAATTTATTTTAGGGGGTCCCAAATAAAAAGTAATGTAGAATATACCTTTTAGGGCTCCATTTTTAATCCAAAAGCCTAATATTCGACCAAATTTATAGGTCTAAGGGGGAGGGGGGGGGGGCCCGGGGTCCATGGCCCCCCCCCCTCTGTATCCGCTATTGATCTTAATATCGGACGTGGAAATAACTCAAATAATTAAATTAAATGTGTTTAGTAGGCTGCCCTAATAATGACATTGTTTGCAAAAGCGGCCGTAAAGTAAAAAACGGCCAAAAAAGACACACTTTGGGACGTTAATAGATCCGTAAAACTTAATTTTTTTGTGACACTCGCTTAAAAAATATTTTTATTTATTGTTACTATACCGGGTGCGTCTCAAAAGTGGCTCACCCCCTATAACTTTTTTATTTTTTCAGATAAAAAAACGAGATTTGGTATGTTAGTATATGACATAAATTAGGATTGATTGGTGTATTCAATTGATTTTGGTCACTTCCTGTTTCACCGGAAATTACTACAACTTTTGATTTTTAAATGGCACCCTCGGTATTTTTTTACTTTATTCGATAGAAAATGACATTCCGAATAGAATGACATATCGTCGGCTGAGTACAAAAATTAGGTAACTCATTTTTTGTAGTTCCGAGAAAATCGATAATAAGATATTAATGTCATAATTAGAAGCTGTCTGGAGTACATCTATTGGAATAAACGACTATATTTTTGTTTGTAGAGCTTTATATTAATCAAAAGAATACACTCAGTGCCAAAGATAAAAGAAATACAAAAATAAACATTTTTTTTTTAGAAAAACAAAAGTTGCCTACTTTTTGCACTAACATTTTTCCTTAA